TAAAAAAGTTTCGAAGTAAATATCCAAAAAAAATACACCATCTAAATGAATGTAAAATGTCTTGAAGATGTAATCCAAGGGCAAATCTAATAAGATAAAACCAACAACAGCTCAATCCTTCCAAATAATCAGTATATTTGTTCTGTTCAGTGCATTGAGTCAAATTTTTTCTAAATCGTAACAGTTACTCTATAGCATGTACATGGGTTCATTTGTCTCAATTCTGCAGATAATAGTAGCTAGCATATTGAAAAATACATGCCTGTCTGGTTAAAGTTTGTTTTAGGTGTTACGAAACGAAAACATGCTTGCTACTTCCCCATCACTCTCTGGTACGTAAAGAAATGCTTCCACCACGTCTATAGCATCTGATCAGTGGGAGGGCTAATCTATTCTTTTCTATCTTCAGCCACCAAAACAATATCATATTTCTTTGGCTCAGCATTTTTCTACGTTCTAAAGATAAGAGCATTTCCAACAGCTCTGGCAAGTTAAAACATTCGGGTAAAATTCCAAAAAAAAGTATGGCTTTTGGGCCAGAGTTTCATAAGAAACTTTTGTTAATTGCAAGTACCACTCTCAGAAATAGGCCCCTTCTAGCCAAGTGTTTTTCAAGCCTTCACACAATCAACCAATTTGTAGCCCCGAATTGCACATTATTTCATCAAAAGACATCATCACCTATTGTGACAAAATAACAATAAGCCCTCAAAAAATCAACCAATCATTGATTTTGGAACAGAAATGTGGTCAAAATCGGATTCAATTGTCAACTGCCCCTATCGGAAATAGGATTGATTGCCGATTCCAACGGAACTGGAGTTACGTCTCGTTTCCACAAATAATTCATCTTGTTGAAATTTGTATTTTTTTTTGGCTGCAACCATTGTTGATTTCATTGAGGGTATGTTTGTATCTTCATTGTAAAAGGTGTCTCTATAGCACGTGACAAGGTTGCTGTTGCTTTTGGGGTTGCTTAGTTGATTAAATTACAACGGAAAAATTACGAAGACTTTACAAGCAAAAATTGATTTAATTGAAGAATGAAAGAAATAAACCAGGACCATTAGGTCTTTTGAGGGTGTATTCCACAATTAACCCAAAAAACTGTGAACAGCTTAAACAAAGCTACATGAAATATCACTTTTTACCATGTACTCATTTTTTGCCGATGTTAATCTCAACCACAGACCAAAAAGAAAAAAAAAAGAAAAGAATTTGTGGGACCTAGTTCCATGACCACAGAAGTGTTTAACTAAGAGTGCATTTAATAAAACTGAAATTTGAAAACTAAAATTTGAAGTCTGAATCCGTTTGAGTTACTGAGTTGTTAAATACTAAATTTGATAGAATTGAATGTATGTCACATTAGTAATAAGTGAATAGTTTATCACTTATCTTTTGAAACAATTTTTGCCTATGAAAGTCATTACTACTTAATTAATTTAAATGTTCAATATTTAGTTATCAAACATGGTTAAACATATTAAAATTTAAACCCATTAAGTTTAAGTACCGAATTGGGTTATCAAACAAGACTTAAGAATGCCTGTTTGTATTGCTATTCTCAAGAGAAAAATATACTATAACGATTTGATATTTATGAAGTAAAAATGTGTTTGAAAAATATGTTCATGAAAAACATAAAAATTTTTTGGATAAATTTTACTTTCCAAACAAGGATGGGATTGGTTACAAAAGGAACAGTGTAAAAATTGAGAAAATACTACTAGCTACTAACCAATTGTTATTCATTAATTTTAACCAAAAAAAAAAAAAGAGATAGTAAACTACAACTAGGGATGGCAACGGGGCTGGGTCGGGGCGGAGGAACGCCCCTGCCCCCACCCCGCCCCGCTTCCACCCGCAGGCTGTGTTTTCAAACTCGGATCGGACCGGCGGTCCAACCGGTTGAACCGGGAACCGGTCAAGTGTCCGGTCCGAGTTGGTCATCAGAACCGGGAGATTTAAAACCCGGTCAACTCCGGTCAAAAACCTGGTTTGACCGGTACAGAACCGGAAAAACCGGTCCAACAGGAGCTTTTGTAAAAAAAGTTCAAACTTTTTTAATATTATGTTTTGACCCCCTAAATTGTAAAAACTTATTAATATACCTCAAATATTTCATACTTTATAAATATTGTCCTAAAATTTGATGTTATTTTTCAATTAAATCCATAATTTTAATTCTAAACTTGTTAATGTTTATTAAATAATATAAATTGTTACTTGATTGTTCTAATTTCTTTGTATTTTCTTGTTAAATATATTTGAAACATCAAATATATATAAATATACCTTTATTAATATCAATATGTTATTGGATATTTTATATACAATAATTTAATTTTTAAATAATTTTTATTTATGACGTCATCCGGTTCGACCCCTATCGACCCCCGGTCGAACCCATTGACCCCTGACCCCTGACCTCGACCGAGTCGATATCCGGTCCGGTTCTAAAAACATAGCCCGCAGGACTAATAAAAATTTGTCATCTAATTTTATTATAGTCAAATTTTAGCAAATAATCAAATATTAAAATATCAACATATCACCAAGTTATTATCCATTATAATTTCACAATTGAAACCCATAAAAGTAATCAAACAAAAGTTATTTGAATACAATCCAACACGATGAAACAAATATAACTAAAGTAGTCAATTTTTACTTTTGACACAAATACAATTACTAAGTCATTACTGTATTTTTTTGAGAAAAAAGTGTTATTGTGTTAAGTGTAATTAGAAATTTATTATAAATGTATTAGTAAATTTAGTATAACTAATTAATAATTTCTATTAGTGGACATGTATAATTATTAGTATAATTGATAATATCAATTATATTACATATACTAATGTCCATTATATAATACATATAACTAATAATATCATTATTATAAGTTTGTAACTAATTAAATTAAATATTATATATATAATTGTATACATACATATTTATTTTTTTTTAACGGGTGGCGGGGCGGAAGATGGGGCGAGGGTATGCTCCCCCGCCCCGTCTCTAAACAGGGGGAAAAAAATTCTCTCGTACCCTGCCTCACCACCAGTGGCGGATTTACACTGGGGGCACAGGCCCCCACTACCCCCTTAAATTTCTATAATACCTATAAAAATTTGATATAATTTCAAGTATGCTCTCTGGAGTTTTGTGTATCTATTGGTTATATGCTTTTAAAGTTGTCTTTGATTTTACCTATTGTTACAACTACCATAGAAAGGATTTTTTCAATTATGATAGAATGGAAAACACTTGAATGAATAATTGTATAATTATTTATATTGAGAAAAATATACTTCATGAAGTTCAAAATGAAAAGGTTGTAAACTGTTATCAAAATATGAAAGCTCGTCATGAGCAATTGTAAATGGTGTAATTTGCTTTTTGAAATAAAATTATTATTACATTAATAATTTTGAGTCTGTCTTTTTATGTCTTTCATGAAATATATGCTTCATTTGTATTTGTTGGTGAATATTTTTCCCTTAAAAAACTAGAAAAATAGTAAATAAAAAATTTTAGAATTACTTCTGTCCCCACTGAAAATTTTTTCTGGCTCCGCCACTGCTCACCACTCACCCTAAACCCCGCTCTGTTAACTCCGGTGAGGCGGTCGCTCGTCCCAATTTCCATCCCTAACTACAGTCATTTGTAGATTATTAAAGCTGTGGAAGACTGACTGAATGTCCCTTTATGTAACTAAAATCTTGTATTATCAAGTTCATATATGTATAACAAGAATACCGTTTGAGAAAAAAAAAAAAAAAAAGACTGCCCCACTGTCTATTTAAATTCCAAAATAACCCCTTTGGTTGATTATTAAAGCAGCCGCATGTCAATTCTGTCTTTTTCCTGGCGGCAGAGGGCCTATGTTGAAATCCCTGATGCTGCTCAATTATTACTGTGACTGTTCTTTCAAATTAATTCATCTGAATCATGCGCAGTATATGTAGTATCTGATTCACTGATACTAACACAGGGTCATTGAATAAAAATTAAAATAAAATGACCACTGATAAAAGTTACTGACAAATTTGTTGTAAATTGTGATCTTTTTACTCTTCTCTTGGCCATAGGATTCATAAATAATTAAGCTAGTACCCATGGCACGGAGTTGTCTGGAGATACAAGCTCAGATCTTTGATAGCCCCCACCTTCGCCATGCCTTGAACTGTTCATGCACAGTGGTGCGACCATGAATGGGCTTTGAGTAAAGCAATTCTGATACGGATGAATTCGGGGGTCTGAGACAGGTATAGTTGAGATTTTGGTACGATTTTGCAACTTTGGATATTTTACATGATTTAGTATAAATTAACTTTGTTTTGTTATATGAGTGAATTTTGTTCATGCATACGAGTACAATTGTAGATACAATTGTATCTACAATAGCACACTGTGAAAGAAATATAACAACCGCACTAATTGTACCAAAAACCAACCGCATGCGACTCAATCCATCGCAGAAGACGGAGTGGTAAAGGGGATAACCAGCCACTCCCTGCTCAATTTTTTTAAAAATTTTAATTTTTATCCTATGTAATTTTAGTACTAGCTGTAGTAGATGGAATCTCGTGAAAATAAAGACTAAAGGTTGTGCAACTTCGAAAAGTCAGTTGAATATGGTACAGCACTAAGTCATGTATGTGTTAGGTTAACTTAATTTGTTACTGAGACAAAAATCTTGCACACTTTTGCATATGCATAATGACTCGCCAAATTTTCACAGACCATAATTAATTACTCAACAGCCATGCACTTGAGAACCTTAGTGACAACGAAATCTATTACAGCCTTCTGTATATCATGCCACCACCCGAGAGAGAGAGAGAGAGAGGATAAGACCAGTCAAATGTAGTAGAAGTGTGAATGCATGAAATGAGTAGGATGAGCTAGAATGGTTTTTCAGCTAAGTTCTTGCCTTGCTCTCTCTCTCTTCGAGTTTATATATACCTGACCTGACCTTTGAGATTTGTCTCAGAGCCACAACTTTTCCTTGACTGCAGCAACATCAGTCTTCTCTTCAACTAGGAGTATCATTCACCAACACCATCTCTTCTCCATCCGTCTCTTCCATCACTTTCTCTTGAAGCCATTCATTCATTTCCAACTCCAAAGGCATCAATGGCAACTTTTTCCTACCAACACCAACAACAACCTTTACATCTTGAATCATCATCAGGACTGTTTTTGCAAAGCAGCTCCCAAATGAGGATGTCTGCAGGCCTTCTTGAGGAGCCAAACATGACAAGAATGACCACCACCACTACTTCTTTCCCTCAATTCTACAGGCCTGATCATTTTCTGCATCAGGAAATCCCTTCCAAATCCTATGTTAATGAAAGTACTTGTTCCATCTTTGACCAGAGCTGCACAAAAGTTACTCATTTTAGCAATAATGGGCCGTCCTTAACAAACAAAACTTCCACCGATTCTTCATCAGTAACTGATAAACTTGAAAGTGGGGAGCAAGTTACTCAGAAGGTACATGCTGCAGCCATGGACAAGAAGAGGAAAACAAAGAAGGGGCCTCTTCCTGTAAATTCTGCTCAATCAAAAGTACTTAATCCATTTTTTTTTTCAATTTTTCATCATGGATTTTCTATCAAAACTGTTTACTCATATACATCTACGAGCCCTTTTTCCCTTTTAATTTTAAGTTTCAAGACTATATGTCTTATATGTTCTTTAATTAGGCTATAGGAGATCAATTAGCTAAAGGGAAAAAGCAGAGGAAATGTGGCAGAATTATGAAAGAGGTTGAAGACAAGAAGTCTAATGAGGATAAAAAAGTTCCAGAGAAAGCTGCTGAAGAAGCTCCCCCCACAGGCTACATTCACGTAAGAGCAAGGAGGGGCCAAGCCACGGACAGCCACAGCCTAGCTGAAAGGGTACAATTCCATTAAATAATCATCGCTAGTTATTGTTCTTGAAAATAAAAACCCTTAAATGCTTACTTTTCTCTGACATAAACAATTAAGGCAATAACTATATTGTCTAGCACACAAACCATGATTAAAATTTTGTCACATGTACCACTCAAAACCAAAATTACTGCAGTTGGGATCCCAATAGTGCCTAAGTTCATGTATCAGCTAAATTTTTTCTGGAATTGATATCAGGTGAGGAGAGAGAAAATCAGTGAAAGGATGAAAATATTGCAAGCACTTGTTCCAGGTTGTGACAAGGTGAAGTTTTTTCATCAGCATCTTGTCTTTATTTTGTTTGTCTCGCTAAAGTTTTTTTTTTCTGACAATTTGAAGTGAATTCGACTGATAAACAGGTAACCGGAAAGGCCCTCATGTTGGATGAAATAATCAATTACGTCCAATCCCTACAAAATCAAGTTGAGGTAAAACTTTTGATAGACTTGTTATTTGGTAAAGTTTTTGAAGCTTGCTGTTATATAATCCATGCAAAATATTTCAAATTCTTGCAGTTTCTATCCATGAAGCTTGCTTCTCTAAATCCGATGTTTTATGATTTTGGCATGGACTTGGATCCATATATTGCAAGACCAGAACCGGTACATGTTGCACAATGTTCTAACACAATTGTGTACCAAGTTGTTATATTTCAGAGAATGTTTCACCATTGTCGTCCATACTTATCCTGATGAATTATGTCTTTTTTTTCTTTCTTTCTTTAATGATGAGATCTTCAGACGCTGAGTAACATGGCATCACCGGTTCAAAATATGCAACAATGTGATCCAATGCAGGCACCAATCATTTCTGCCACAAACAATAGCTTGAGAACTGATACTGCCAATGACTATCCTCAGTTGGATTCTTCAGCTTCAGCATTATTAATTCAACAAAGCCACCACATCCCTCAAATTCTCTCTCAGGTGCTTTTAACTTTTCATGGCCACCAATAGTAGAATGAAAAGCATATACTAATTGATAAAATTAAAGAAACATTAAAGTAAAAGAATATTTTCTTTCTTCCATGGAGAAATAAATGCTCAGGTCGGTATCTTTGTGGCTTAGACAAAAATATCACTTTCAGGAAAATGGACAGCTCTTGTGGGATGTGGATGACCGAAGACAGAAACTTATTAATCAGACGGGGTTCAACAACAACTTGTGTTCGTTTCATTAATTATAAGACCAAAGGGCAAGAGTTGCCCTACACATATCTGGTAAGCCTTCAATTGCTGTCTCAAATAATACGAGCAAATGCTAATAAAAATTAGTGACAACTGCGAATGAGCTAAGAGACATATGTACATAGAGTCATTATCAGAAATGCTTCCTTTCATGCCCCTTAATTTGAATTTTTTAATACTTTTTCCTGGCTTTCACACCATTTGAGATTTGAGAAATCTCAGTTGGTTATTTGGGCCGTATGCCATTTTTGTTTAGCATAAAGCAAACTAATTAGAACGGACGACGTGCATGCATAGGGCTTAATCACTTGGGAATTAATTACTCAGGTAGATTTAAACTATTAAACCTACATGCCTTAATTGCTCTTACCTTTCCAGATGGTATAAATAATAATGCAAATGTTACAATTATATAAAATACCCAATCTGCAAGATCAAGTCCCGAACTGAATTAGTTCACTTATGTTGACGAAATATTTGTTGAACACCTGAGTTTCTCTGTAGTCCACAATTGTTTAGAGATAATGCGACAAGGCACACAGAGTCTCATATGGTCCTACGTACTACCTCCATGTCTCATTCAATGGAAGAAATTTTACTTGCACGAATTATCCAAAAAAAAAAAAAGGAAAAGAAGAACAAATAGATACAAGTATTAGCTATATAACCCTAAAAAAACAGAGAATTGTTGCAGGTTTTGTATGTTTTCTTCTTTTGGTAATTTTGCTCCTGGTTTTTTGATGAATGACCACAGGTTTGTCAAGATTTGTGAAGGGCAAAAAGGTAGTGCCAGACAAATGTTACTGTAGTTTCTTATTCGTTAGTATCAATTCTAATGGAGAAGGGTTTCAGCTTGCATATTACTTTGATCACCTCAAAGCTCGGATTCTGAATTCATTGGAGGAATGGGGTCTTCTATCTCTCTGATCACATGAATAAAAAGAAAAGCAAAGTAAAAGGGCATGAAGAGGATAGAAATCAATGGACACACAAGGACAAACACAACCGACCAAACAAGACTAGATCTTTTTCAGATCCTTTGTTCCTGTCTAATTTGACTCCCAACTGTCAGAAGCACAAATTCCTAGCTAGAGACTTGGCTTTACATATGTACTTAATATGAGGTAAATCCAAGAAAATATAATGTAAACAGTTGTAAAAGAATCTGTTAAGGTATCATAATATTGAGTTGCATGTAACTTACTGGTAGTAGTCTAGTAGTCCTGCGTTTCTTCTTCTTAGTATTGTCACTGTAATTCTGTTATAGAAGATAGTTTTTACCGTTGTAGTTTTCTTGTCCCTTTGTTACATTGAATTGCACTGCGAGTCTGCTACTATTACTGTTTCATTTTTTGGTACTGACGTGACAAGACTCATCCCATATCATATGGCTTCGTACGAAGGAATCAATTCAACTGTGTGACTGCGTGTTGATAAATGAATCATAGTAACGGACCTAACGGTTATTGACAGGTCCATGAATTATTTCTTTCACCACTGAAAAGACAGTAACCATGGGAAGCATGAAAACAGGTAAACAACCAATTGATTCTTAATCTTAAAACGACTGATAATCTATAGAGATTTACCCTGGAAACGAATGCAAGAACCCAGATTAATGGACTTTAAAACCCCGTATAGTAATGGTTAGAAGAAGAAGAAGGAAAAAAAAAAGAGCAAGAAAGGAAATTTAATATTGTATGTGTATTTTTCTGTTATGGCAAACAAATTTTTCTTGGTTCCACCATCATATAAATTAGTTAACCTGATAAGTCATTGTAAAATTACTGAATGATGTAAAGAAGTTAAAACCCTAAAAATGTATCATCCAACTCTCTAATAATCCAGATCTTCATGTAGTAGTAGTAGTAGTTTTTATGTCTACTGATTCTTCATTTCTTTTCCAAGCTAAACTGAATTAAGATTAATTTGGAGCAAATTGAACTGAAGAAACTTTGATGGCATGGTGAAAAACAGCATCTGGAGACGTACTGCTTGTCAAGACAGCAAGCGGCAAGAATGGGGAAATTGTACATGGTGGACCTAAAAAATCATCAGGTAGAATAATTAAGTCTTTATTTCCATATCAGACAAGGTAAACTGAACTGCATTACTTCATTGGCATAACCATCTGACTTTCATGTTCAATAGATTGACATGGTCAAGTGGAGTGGAGTCTCTTCGGACATTCCATGTGGTACCTGTGTTTCTCGTGTTATTAATAACTGGCTGGTTGGCACCGGTTGTGAGCATTTTACTCTGATTGATCAGTTATTTACATTCTCTCTTGAAGAATTACTATCGTTTTCTTAACCAAAAAAAAAAAAAAAAAGTCATGCATTATTATATTTGTCTCACTAGAAATTTATTGCAATTATGCCAATCTTCTTTTTTTTTTTTGTTTTTTTGTATATAATGAACATATCATTCTAGTCATAAATAATATCATCACAATTCCTTTTGACATAAATGACTTGTAAAGTCTTTGGCACTATCATAACTACCTTTTTGAAGTTCTAGATATAGTAAGGCACCGTTTGGAATGAGGGAATGGAAGGGAAAGGAAAGGAGAAGAATTGGAGGGATTTGGTTTCTATTATTTGGATTGATATTTGAGAAGGGAAAGAAAAGGATAGGGAGGGCTAGTTATTTTTATTGAATTATGGTTTTCGTTCAAAAGTGGGGCAAAAAAAAGAGGAAAATAAAACTAAATTAATTTAAATAATTTAAATTTTTTTTAAAGATAAAATTTTTCATATCTTTTCCAGTAAAGTAACACTTGATCTATTCCTTTCCTTTCTTTTCTTCTTCAATCCAAACAAAAATTCAATATTTCTTTCCTTTCTTACATAATTCAAATAAGATGGATGAAAGCCACTTTTCTCTACTCTTCTTTTCTTTATTTTCTATTGGTATCCTTTCTTTTCCTTCAATTCAAACGGTGCCTAACCACATGCAAATAAAACTGTAGATCATAATAGTGTAGAAATTATTATCAAAAGTGAAGTACTGTAAATTTTAGAAACTTTACATTTTTCCTACTATAACAAAATTTTTTTTTTCCGGTAACCCGAATCATGTTTCGACCTGAATCCTTTGGATCCGAACCGGCACACCAAACAGGAGGGCAACGCTGCAGCCCCACGCAACATTTACCCAAGCGAGTCACAGGATGCCTAGGGAACAATTTCGATCCTGAGACATTTGTATTCCAAAGAATCACTGTTACCACTAGGGGAACTACTTTAACAAATTTGCAAGAGAAGTCGGCAATAATTTTTACGTGGATTTTTTTCTTTTAATCCAATCCAAGAATGTTCTACTAAAGAGAGTCTCGTTATCCATGAGTCATCATAGTTACAATAATTATTATCATCTAAGAGCTTTTAGCTACATTTGACGTGTTGCTAGCTTCTCGGCCTTTGCTGCTCCTCCAGCTGCCGAGATTTCCATGACTAGGGTCCCAACTATTTCTTCCTAGAGATGAAAGATAAGACAAGTCAATGAACAAATATGCCCCCACCACCAATATATTTCTGCAAATTTTTAGTCACTTTAATACGTTGCAATTGTCTTAAAAGTGTATGTCTTATCATATATTATTTTGTTGTTCTTCTATTTCTGAAAGAAAAAAAATTAAATTAATTGTTAAAAATAGCATAGTACTGCCAACTGGATTGTAAATGTTGCCATAATCATTATTGCTTCCAGGCCAACAGCTTCTTGGGCTGTTGGTAACCCTACTTAATTGTGACTGTTATTTTTGAGTGGCTTTCTTGGACTGGATTTTCCGTTGATTATACTCCCCCTCTCCCTAAATTAGATTAGAATAGATGATACAACTATTATCGTTGCGAAAAAAAAAAAATTGCTTCCAACATATGTGCAGTTCACCAACTTATCAATATGTTCATCATTTGGTCCCATTTCTTAGATTAAGTCAGACTGCTGTCTGCTATTGATTGAACCAAAAACTTGCTTCTTTAAGCTTTCTGGCCATTATGATCATTGGCTCAGATTGGAGTCTAAGAATAAATTTATGAGGAAATTATATTTCTAATGTTCATATAATAATACAAGTGAATTCCTGATTTGGATCGGTCGAACATTAAAGCTTGGTTAAGTGCTTGATCGAGGCAGTAAATGGTTCTTAACATTGAAATTGGAAAATAATCGTTTAAAAACGTTTTCGATTTTGAAATCCATGATGACAATTCTTATGCAAATGGATTAATTTCTCTTCTTTTATACCCTTATTCTTCTTTAACTAGCCACACCTTTTTCATGTGAACAAGGTCTGCGCCACTAGGCCTGTCAACGGGTCGGGTCTAGACCCGGATCCGGACCGGATCCGTGAAATTATTGAGGGTATGGGTAGGGATTTAATTCCGTTTCCTGGATCCGGATCCGGATCCGTTTTGTCAAACAAAAAACGGGTCGGATACGGAATATAGTATTCCGACCCGTATTAGACCCGGATCCGGATATAAATGAATTAATAATTTAAAAAATATATATTTATCAATATAATTTGATTAGGGTGATGTATTTTAATAAAATTAATTTGATTTCTTTTCTTATTTGGTTTTTTCTTTGCATTAGTTAGAAATTAGTTTATAAATATATTTTTTTCTCATTTTTATTAGAAATTATAAAATTTGGTAAATTTGTTCGGGTAGACCCGGATCCGGATCCGGGACCCGCCGGATCCGGATCCGGAACATAGAATAAAAGACCCGTCGGGTAAACGGGTCGGGTCCGGATCCGGGATAGTAATTCGGGTCCGGGTCCGGAATAATGAATTCCGGCCCGGACCCGGCCCGTTGACAGCCCTATGCGCCACGCATCGTGGCCATGTACTAGCTTAAGGAAAAAAATGGATGTTCCAACTTTTTCAATTGTCTTTGTTGGAAAATTTCCTTAAACATGAAGAAATTGGCATCAATAATTGTGTGCTAAAAAATAAAACGGCTATGTGTTTGATACGTTCAATTCCACCACCTGAAGCCGTTATATCTTGCCAGATTGGATTTTCTTGCACGTCAACGACAAAATTGTTTTGGTACAAATTATCTTTGACAATAGAGTTGCAATTTCGAGGTACGAGCTTTATATTTCAAAGATAAGGAAAGTTGATAGGCTGGAGGGATTTGGTACTCATGGTTCATGCACTTCCAATTTTGGCAAGTGACATTTGTGCAAATCAAAATTGCGTCCACAGTGAAAGATTCATTGTTACAAGCCGAAATTGTTCAATAAAACAGGACAAATTAAGCTAAGATCCAAAGAGAAGGGAAGTTGAAAAGAGCAATCACGCCAAAGTTGAATAAGGGTATCAGAAAGTCTATTAAAGCAAATCATGAGCGTAAAAATTATTGGCGAACAGATGAATTAAAAATCTAATACCAGGACATTAGTTACTAACATGCACGGAAGGGAATTGCAGTGATTTATCTATTAGAAAATAATTGTGAAATTTCTTGTATTTTTTCAGATCTGGTGTTAATTTTTTCGGATTTATTGTATATGTTAAATTGCAGATATGTAATTTCTAATGCATGATCTCTGTAATTTCTAATGCATGCTTAACCTACCATTAAAGCAGTAATGTAAATCAAATCATAGTGAACGATTTCAAACAATCTGTTAATGAAATTTGCTATATGTATGGTATCATAATCATTATTGTTCTCTCATATTTTTACACATTTTCATGAATATTTGAATGTTCATCTTCCCTATTTCAAAAATACTAAGTTGAGTAAGGACAACTGGCGACCAAGGACAATTGTTAAATAAACCCTTGTCTTTTGAAATTGCCAATCTGAAACAAAAACAAAGGAAGTAACAAATCAGCAGCATAGGATATTAAGTACTGTTCTTGTGTCTTCTGGAAATGCAATAAAATGGAGATTGACATTTCTTTGTCAGAACTTAAAGCCTGACAATTGAGAGTCTGCAGAAAAATTTCCCAACCTTCTTCTAGTATTTGCGATTAGCTGCAATGTGCAAATCAATGACCGATCATTTCCATATTAAGGCTCGACAACATCCAGGATAAGAAAGTACTGAACCATAGATGGAATACACGTTGCGTTATTAAAATCACCAATCCTGGCTTCTTTAATATTTTTTTCCTTCTCTTTTTCATCTTCTTTGTACTTTCCACTCAAGATGTCCCCTGATCAGAAAATGAATGCTTTAGGCTTTATATTATTCTTTCTTTTGACAGATCAGCATCCACATATCATCTGACGTGGAAGCAAAGGATGTTGCAAAGTGTCCTATTAATTTGGATTGATATACACACAGAACCTAATCAATTATCAACCCCAACCCTACTATCTT